CCCTCCTACCGGGAATGTCCGTCCATCCCGACCCCGGAGCCTCACGGACCCTTTCCCTGGCGTCCCAGTTCTCCCTGGCTGCCTCAGGCCCTCTCCGCCCCCAGGTCGGCCCCGCCCTTATATCCAAGGTCTCCTTTTCTACCCGGGCACCCAGGATAGGATCGCAGTTTTTTTTTTTTTTTTGTCTTTTGTCTTTTTTTTGAGACAGGGTCTCACTATGCAGTTCAGGCCGGCCTTGAGCTCACTTTGTAGCCCAGGCTGGTCCGGAACTCGCAGCGATCCTTCTGCCTCAGCCTCCCGAGTGCTGGGATTACAGGCGTGCACCACGATGCCCGGCAGAACCCCAGTTCTGTGCCTGTCAGCCCTGCAGCAGGAGGTGGAGGTGACAGCCTGGGGGAGGCTTCCCTGGGAAGCCCTGTGCAGCCCTGGGCTCTGGGCTCTGGGCCGGACTGAGGACGAAGACTGCCGGGCTGAGGTGCTGCAGGATGGATGCTGGATGCTGAAGGGAGCCTTTGTTCTGGGCAGTCTCAGGCCAGAAAAGCTTTTCCTAGATTATCTCCGAATCTGGCCGAGTGCCTCTGTAATTTCCATTAAGTAGAACACGTTCATCCGGCAGCTTCTGGCAGCCGTGTGCAGAGACCAAGCCTTGGTCCTGGGACTGGAGAACACGTTCAGGTAGTCAGTGATCCCACTGTACAGATGACGTGTCACAAGGACCTGAGCTCACTTGGCCGCTGTCACACACATGGAGGTGACAGAGTTGGGATTTTAACCCTCCCGCCTCATTTGAGCCGCAGGGTGGCCTTTAACTCTCGTGGTGTCACCTTTGCGTCTGGAGACTCTTGTGGTGTTAGCTGGAGGGGGCCCCCCCAGAGTCTAACAAATGGACAGCAGGTGATTCTTACTTGAAACACAAGTCCTGGGTCACTGGGAGCTTGGAGATGAGATCATTACTAAGAATTGCCGTTGAAAGGGCTCTGGGATCAGCAGCCACGTGAATCGTTTCTGGACACCAGTGGCCAGGAATAGTAGGGTTTTTCCGGGCGGACATAATCAGGCCGTTGAAGGTCTTGTTCTAATCCCATTTCGTGTCCGCTGTGTGGGAGTTCTGTCAGGAGCTTCCTCGAAGGATCTGGGAGGATCCTTTTTGGGAGGGTCTGGCTCGCTTCAGGATGGGTGGCGGGCGGTGGCAGAGAGGGCTGTGTCACTGCAAGTACCCCAGGTTTCGCTGGCTTTAAGGTGTTCCCTTGGCAAATGCCCTTCTCTTTGTCTGCTGCCAGCAGTTGCAAGGAGGACTGAGCAAGTATCAGACAGGTTTGTCTTGATTCTCTCGGGGCTGGCTGGGGAGCCCCTGGAGCACAGGCCGGGTAGGCGGTGGCCTCAGATGAGGAGGCCTGGCGGGGAAGACGCTTCTAATCCCACTGCCGGTTTATCCCGTGTCTTCGGCAGGATTAAGGGTGGAAAGGACCATCGTCAGCCCGAAGGTGTTACTCTGTCCCCCGGCCCAGTAAACGCTGGCTCTTAACCTTGCGTCTGTGTAAGCGTCGTGCCTCCTTTGTGAGCTCTGAGTGGTTCTGCCGGAACTGAGCCTGAGGGGTGGCCCAGTGCTGCTGAATCCCTGTGGGCGCCTGAGAAGGACGAGGTGTCCCCCGCTGCGCTCCGGGGGGCTGTGCAGTAGTTCGCACCAAGCCAGGTGGGCTGGCTGTGCTACTCACGGCTCCTGCGCCCGCGCCGCCCTCCGGCCCTCTCTCCGTTCTCCAGAGAGGGGCAGAGGAACTTCGGGCTGCCACTGTGCATTTGTCCTCTTCTTCTTCTAGATCTTTTGTTTTTGGTTTCTTTTGAGACAGGCTTTCACGATGTAGTGCAGGCCGGCCTTAAACTCACGGCAGCCCTCCTGCCTTAGCTTCCTGAGTGCCGGGATTACAGGCATGGACCACCACACCTGGAACAGGATGATGATTATTTTACAAAATAGGAAATAATGTTACTGAGGATATGGAAAAATCGAAGCCTTGGTCCTTTTTTGGTAAGAATGTAAAACAGTGCAGCCGCCACGGAAAACAGTGTGCTGATTTCTCAGGAAATTAAACACGATCGCCACGCGAACAGCCGCCGCACTGCCGGGCATGTGCCCTGAAGAAGCGGGAGCAGGAACGAGGGCAGATGTGGCCCGTGTGATTCACAGCAGCCTTATTTCCCGCGGCCCAGCTCGTGTCCATTAACAGATGAGCAGCGGGAGTGTGGTCTGAGAGCTGGGACTCGCTCATCGCTGAGAAGGGAGGTCTGGCGTCTGCTGAGCGGGGCACGCGGCTGCTGTGGGAGTCCTCTGCCGGGTCTGGCGCAGTTACCTGCGCAGGCACGGAGTGGTGTGGGGGCAGCTGGGTGGGCCGGGGCGGAGTTAGTGTGTAACGGGCGAAGGGTAGAGAAAAAGCAGCGGGATGGGTGGAGGAGATGCGGGCAGCACAGCGGGAATGTGCTTGACGTCCAGGAACTGTGCCCAACCCGGGCAAGAGGACACTTCACAAGCAACGAGCGCTTGGAGATGGTGCGAGTGTTTCTGGGCCTTTCGGCTCTTACAGCATTGAGTACTTCTGTGCCAGATGGCCTTCTTGTGGGCAGTCGTTAGGTGGGTGTTTGACGAATTAATATTATCCCTTAGTTACTGCGGACCTGGTCCAAAATCTCCCAAATGGGTAGACTTCAAAGGCTAAACAAAAGGGCCAAGTGTTATGATTTTAGGGCTCCAGGAGGATCAAAACCCTCTAGCAGAATTCGAGATTCTCTGGGGCCTGAGACAGAGAACTTCTCTGGGTGACCTGTATTTATTTAGTTATCAAAACGAGGGAGGGGATGCTGAAGAAAGGCAGGACCACTCAAGCACTTCTCCAAGTAAGGCGTTACATTATTTTAGGAGAACCATGTGATCTCCAGGAAGGCCCTCACCACAGGAGTGAGACACCTGCAGCTGTAGTCTTTGTCTAGTTCATGGAGGTTGGAGCCAGGTGCCCTTAGCTGTGGCCTTCTCTTGTCCTTTGAGGTGTCCTGGCTTTCCCCGCCACTACAGGCCTCAGCCGGAACCAGTGGTTCACAGGGGTTCACTTACTATGAGTCCGCTGCCCATCTCCAGACAAGGGGGCTAGGCCTGGGACAGACTCACAAGTAAACAGGGGAAGCCAGTTGGTTAATTCAAGTCCTCAGGGCTGCTTGTAGTGGTCTTTATCAGGTGTTACTTTTTAAAAATCCAGTCTTAAATGCCAGTATCTTGTACTCTGAGTAACTAATTTAAAGATGACAATACTCAATGTATTAAACATCGTTAGTCTCCTATTGTGTTGAAATTTTTTTCTCTTTAAAATAAAAATTTTAAAAAATGCAGTCCTAAGCAGCTCTGTTGTAATTGCAGTGTGCGAACTGCTCACGTTTAACGTTTAACGTTTAACGTTTAACATGAGCGCTGAGCCGGCCGGGGTTGAGGCCACTGCTTGCCCAGTCTGACCCGTGCTCCTCGTTCCCCCTCCCTTCCTGTCTGACCTCCTTGGGACCGCGGCGTCATTGGCTCCCTTTCGTTTCCTTTGTTGGCTTATTCACTGTGACGCTTCTCTTTAAGGGTTGTGTTAATGCACGCTGTGTGTGTGTGTGTGTGTGTGTGCGCACCTCATGGCGGCCTCTGGGGGTCTCGGTGCGTGGAGACCCCGCAGCGACCCTCCCTTCCCGCCTGGCCTGGCCGCTGTCGCCATGCGTTTGACTTCTAGGCCGTCCTCAGTTCCCCAGTGCGCCAGCGATGCTGTCGGGAGCCTCAGCAGGAGAGGACGGGCTCGACACTTCCTGTCTCTCGTGTCCGTGCTCTGTGTCCCCACACAGACCCACACTTTGGCCCATTTCACGCTCCTGTCCTCGGACATTTTCCACGTGTCTTTTGTTCGATGAGCTCCTTACACTTTTGGATGTCTGGGACGACTTTCTTTTTTTTTTTTTTTTTTTTTTTTTTTTTTGGTTTTTCTCCGGTACCGGGAACCAAACTCACGACCTTGTGCTTTTTTTTTTTGTCTTTTTGAGACAGAGTCTCACTGCGCAGTTCTCACTTTGTAGCCCCTCATGGCAGTCCTCCTGCCTCTGCCTCCCCAGTGCTGGGTTGTAGGTGTGCACCGCCGCACCCGGCATGGCCTTGTATTTATTTTCTGGGTGGGGAATTGTGGGTGGACTGTCTTTCCTGTGCTGAGCTGGCCGGGGTCTCCCGAGTGTGGCCTGCTGCCCTTCTCATTTCTGCCCTTCTCGTTCGTAGTGTGACATCTCCCCCCACTTGGCTTCTTACCTCTGGGCTTAAGTAATTTATGGTGTGTTCTGGTGTCGTTTTCTCCACGTTTCTGTGCTGGGATTGAATTCTTGGATGTGTGGGTATGTAACTGTCCTCAAAATTGGAGATTTTCAGCCAGTAGGTCTTAAGATACTTTTCCGTCCCCTGCCCCCCCCCCCTCTCCACCTGGTCCTCGGGGAAGGCCTATGGTGTGTGGAGTTACCCTGGCTGTCTGAGTGTTCATCTCCCCAGCGCTGTTTTCCTGCTCTGGTTTGTTTGGGATGATTTCTACCGCCAGGTCTTCAGATTGCTGCCCTGCAGCACCCACGCTGCCCGCTTCCTGTCTGGTGTACTTTCTTGTAGATTTTTTTTTTCCCGGTACTGGGAATCGAACTCACGACCTTGCGCTTGCCAGGCAGGCGCTGTGCCGCTGAGCTAAATCCCCAGCCCCTGGTGTACTTTCTTAATCGCAGCGCTGTGGCGTTTACCTGTACAGGGTTGATTCAGACTTTAACAGAGTGTCTTCCAGGCCCTACTTACTGCCCTCAGCTTCTAGCGTGAACATACAGAGCTGCTCTAGTGTCCTTGCTCGGGGTTCTCTCCTCTGTCTGATTTCTGCTTTTGCTTTTGGCGGTTGTTTTCCTCCTTCCCAGGGACGTTTCTCACTTCTGTGTGTCTTGGTTTCTAGCTGCCTGTTGCGTGTTATGGCTTTCGCCTTGCTGGTTGCTGGGTATGGTGTTGTTTCCGTAAACATCCCTGCCAGTGTCTGTGGACGCTGTTGAGTGGCCTGGACCACTCGGAGCCTGCAGAGGCTGCTCTGGGGCTGTGGTCGCGGGGTCGGAGCGGCCTGGGCCTGGCTCCCTGCTCCCCACTGCCGAGGCTGGCGGGACACGATCCTGCCCAGTTCAGGGCCGAAGGACCAGAGCGGACCCAGTGCAGGTTCTGGGGGTTCACGGTAGGGGTCTCCCCTGCTCCTCTGTCCCTGGCTGTCCCGCACCCCTGCCACTCTTCTGCCTCCAAGCCAGGCTGGACACCCCCTGGTCTGCTTCCCCGCTCGGCCAGGGTTTGGGCGGTTCCTTTGCTGCTTTGCCTGCGGCTGTTTGAGGCGGCCGCTGAGTCTGGTCCCTGCTCCTGTCAGCGCGAGGCGGAAGCCCTGTCCGGTGGGCACTCGTGGCCCACGTGCAGGGTGCAGAGGGAGACCGGGGGCAGGACACGCTGACCCCCATCTGCAGAGGAGCACGGGGCCCTGTGGAGGTGCTGACCTCTCCGGGTGCAGGCGGCAGGCAGGGTGTGCTGTGGGCTCCTCGGGGACAGGATCCTCAGCTCCCTGACCCTCACGGATCCGTTTGCTAGGGGGCTGAGGGTGCTCTCGTCCTGCGAGGAGAAGGTAGGACAGGAGCGCCCACGGGTGCTGGCAGGGACCTGGCTGCAGAGGGTCAGGGTCAGCTGGCCGTGTGTGCCGCGCCAAGGGCCGCACCACTTTGCACACCGCAGATACAGACCTGGGCTTCAGAGCGGGGCGGGAGAGCTCTGGTCGCCTGAGCTGTGAGGGAGGCAAGGGCCGGGCTCGGACGTTGGACACGGGGTGGAAGTGGGGTCCGAGCCTGCACTGCCGCTGCCTGCTGCCTGGCGGCTGGCAAACGGCCTTCGAGGGCTCTTGCGGGGTCCGAGGCGGTAGGCGGGCCGCTGGCCAGGGAGCTCTGTGCAGGTGGGGTCAGCAGCGCCCACCGCCGCCAGCTGGGCAACTGTGAGCCTTCAGGGCAATGGCCCGGGTACCCCCAAAGCCCCTGGAGTCCGTCCTGTGTGGTGGGCCTCCCTAGGGACAGCTGGCCCTGCTTGCAGATTAGAAGCCATCCGGACGGTCAGGTACAGGGCCGCGAGCGGGAGCCCAGCTGCCGTCGCTTTGGATGTGCTTCCAGGTCAGCTGCAGGCTGAGGAGGGCCGGGGCCTCAGGAGCGCAGGGGCTTGGCTGGCGGGCCGCCTCACATACGAGCCGCGGGGCAGCTGCCTGTTGCTCGGTGGCAATGCTGATGAAGCTGAAAGGGTTTGTGTGACTGAACCCGCCCTTGGGCTCCGTGGCCTGGGGATGAATCAGTCCCTGGAGGAGTCTGGGAAGTGCTGGGGTGGCAGAGGGAGGATGGCTGGGTGCCTGGGGCCAGGCAGGAGTTCCGTTCATTCTTTCCAAAGCCTCAGCCCAGAGGAGAAACGAGGCACGGCCGCCCCCCTCCCCACATGCAGGTGTCTGCCCTCTGGACACCGAGCCGTGGCAGGTCTGCGTGCCGCGGCCTGGGCAGGAGGGAGAGATGGACTCTCCTGGCAGAGGGACGCTGGGTACCGCCAGCAGCTCGGCCTCTCACACTGCTGGACCCTGAGGAGATGCCGTTCCTGGCCTGTTACAGACGGGGAAGCCGAGTCCCAGAGAAGGGCGCTCTGTCTGCCCTGGGCCTTCACAGAGGGCAGGGATGCCCACGACCTGCGTGGTGCTGGTGTCTTCGAGAACTGGCAGCGTGGGGGAGGGCTGCATCTACAACCTGCAACCTGCATGGAGAGAAGATAAGCACCCTAAAAACAGTGCTTCAGCCAGACGTGGTGGCGCACACCTGTAATCCCAGCACTCGGGAGGCTGAGGCAGGAGGATCATTTCGAGTTTGAGGCCAGCCTGCACTGCATAGCGAGACCCTGTCGGAAAAAGACAAAACAACAACAAACAACAACAACAACAAAAACAGTGCTTCAGCCACTGAACAGGGTGCTGGTGTGTACCTCCGCTCCGGCCCCCAGCTCCCCTCCCCGGACTGTGACTCGCTTGCCACGCGGGAGCGCCAGGGCGAAGCCTGGGCTGTCGGCCGCGTCCTCTTTGGGTCAGCTGGCTTCCCTTCCTGCTGACTGCCTGCGAGGCTGACTTGGGGCTTTCTTCTGCTCCGTTTGGACACCGCTGTGACACTCACGTTTGTGACCCTGGGGAGGCCACCGCTGCACACACGCTGGGAGAGCCGGAGGCTGCGGTGCACTAAATATAGCGAGCAGGACGCAGCTGGGGCTGCTGTGCCGCAGCCTGCGGAGCCGGGTATTTCTGGCTGGGACAGGAATAGCCGCCTCCTGTGGGGCAGCATGGCCGTGCTGCTCGCCAGTGAGCCTGAGCTGAGTGTGTCCCCGTCCCTGCTTTCTGTCTGTGCCCTGGGGAGCGCCACCCACCGGCAGGGACCTGCGGGCTCGTGCTGCCTACCCTGGGCCGTTGTGAGCTACCAGCCTCTGTGTGGGTGCTGTGGGGGCCGCAGGGCTGCGAGGGAGGCCTGACCGCGCTCCGGGCCTTCGCTGTGGGCCTCTCCTCACTGCGCTGTGCTGTTTGCAGGGCAGGATGGAGACGCTGAGAGACAAGACCGTGCAGGAGCTGGAGGAGATGCAGGGTGACGAGGAGGCCATCGGCCGGCTGGCCCTGGAGTCCCCGGAGGTAGGTGAGGCTGCCCAGGTGGGAGGCCCCCAGGGCCTTCCCCGGGATGCCAGCCAGCGGGGGTGTGGCAAGCCCCGCCTTCTCTGTGGCTTTTGCCCCCTGCCAGGCCCCGGGCAGAGTAGCCCCTGAGGGTTCAGGCCAGTTCCTGGGCCCCCAGGAAGCCTAGGCAGGGGTGGGGAGCCTGGGACCCACATGGACTTGGACCCCTGTCCTCCTGGCTCCCGCAGGCGGTCCAGCCTGACTCAAGCATGGTGGGTTCGTGCCCACCTTCCCCCGTGTGGCCCTGCACCTGCAGGTGACTCAGGCTCCGGGACTGGGCTGTAGCTCGTCCCTGTCTGATCCTGTGCCCGCTGCACCTGGCACCGAGTCCTGGCTTCTTCCCACCTGCATGGAGCTTCACGTTTATTTACTTATTTATTTTTGTCCTTTTGAGACAGGGTCTCGCTATGTAGTTCAGGCTGGCCTTGAGCTCACTTTGTGGCCCAGGCTGGTCTCAAACTCAAAACAATCCTCCTGCCTCAGCCTCCTAAGTGCTGGGATTGCAGGCATGTGCCACTTCGCCTGGCCGAGCTTCACATTTAACAGAGGATTTGCCCATCCTCCATGGCCATGACCTCTCCTGGCCAGCAGGTGCTGTCGGCATGTGGGCCCCACCTACTTGGGCCTGACTGACTTTCCTGGGACCGTGGCATGTGGGCATCCCGTCACCCACTGTCTAGGAAGGGTCTGTGGCTTCTGGCCCACTGGCTGCAGTGCAGAGGGCCGGGCTGGGCAGTGAGGCGATCTGGGCAGAGGGCGCACAGGCCTCACCCAGTGGCTCCTTCGTCGGCCTCCCTGGGCCATGTCTCTGGCCCGGTGTCCGGGATGCCCCGGCTCAGCTTCTCCCGCGCAGCACAGCGGCACTGTGCGGGCGCAGACACCGTCTTCCTCAGCATCGTCAGTAGCCTAGGGTCCCCTGTGCTGTGCGACCCCCAGCTGTTCATGCCAACTGGTTCTGTCCGCTGGAGCTCTGCCCCTGGGGCCTAGTGCCCATCCAGCAGGTGGCCGGGGCAGGCTGTCACCATAGCGCTGGGTCCCATGTGCGTCCGCCCGAGAGCTGCTGGGTTCCCGTGACCACATGATGGCACTCATCGGCCTGACTGTGCCGGGCAGTGGGAGGTGGCTCTCACCGTCACACGGTGCCCTCCCCTTCCAGGTGCAGGACCTGCAGCTGGAGCGGGAGATGGCCCTGGCCACCAACCGGAGCCTGGCCGAGCGGAACCTGGAGTTCCAGGGTCCCCTGGAGATCAGCCGCTCCAACCTCTCCGACAAGTACCAGGAGCTGCGCAGGCTGGTGGAGCGCTGCCAGGAGCAGAAGGCCCGGCTGGGTGGGTGCACGGTGGGTTGGGTGGGCGGCTGGTGGAGTGGTGCGGGCACGGCTCGCTGCCTGCCAGGCAGGCCTGGAGCCACAGGCTTCGTGGGCAGTGGGTACGGAGAGGTACCGTGGATCCTCACGTACAAGTGAGAACTGCAGAAGGTGCAGTGCCGGAGCCGGGGCTTGGGGCTGGAGTCTGAGGGCCGAGTCCTTCCCCGTACGGGGCGTCTGGCCCAGGAAGGCGGCAGGGACCGCCTGCAGTAGCTGCTGGGCAGAGCAGGACCCGAGTCCGCTCCATCCCGCCTGCTCGCCCCGGGCTGGCCTGGCTCCCACGCTCCCCTCTGCCTGGGAAGGTGACTTCCCTGGGACACCTGCAGGGACATGCGGGACCCTGGGCCTGGCTGGGCCCCTCCCAGGCCGTGGCGTCCAGCGCTGATCACATGGGGCCCTTTGGACCACGTGCCTGTCTCTCCCACTTCCAGAGAAGTTTTCCTCTGCACTACAGCCGGGGACCCTGCTAGACCTCCTGCAGATCGAAGGCATGAAGATTGAGGAGGAGTCCGAGGTGAGTCAGGGCGTGGCGGGCGGCGCCTGGGGTCCTGCTCGAGCCCCTGTTGGCACACGTGCAGCCGTGTCCCTTGTCCACAGGGACTTTCTGAGACCCGGGGGTGCCTGGACTGTGGCAAGGCCTGGGCCCCGCCACTGTGGAGTGTGTAGTGCGTCTCCCTGGACACACAGCCTCGAGGAAGTTTAGTTTGTAAACAAGGCACAGCACTAGATTAACAGGCAGTTACAACAGTATGCTGCGAAGAAAGCTGCTTCAAACTCATGAACTGTGCATTTCTAGAATTTTGCATTTCGTAGGTTTGGGCTGGGTTGACCTTGGGTAGGGGCTGCTGCCCTGGTGGCCGCCAGGTGGAAGGGTGCTGTGGCGAAAGCCCAGGATCCAGTGGGGCCAGGCCCTCCTGCCCCCTGCCCTGTCCCTGTCCCCGTCCCCTTGTGTCAGTTTCACGCAGGGGATTCTTTCCGCCGTGTCTGGGCAGGCAGCATCAGTGACTGCGCTTTGCCATGGCCCGGTGGTCGCCTGAAGGCGCTGACTTCCCTGAGAGGGACGCAGAGGACAGAAGGCGTGTCGTCGTCGTCAGCAGGGGCCGGAGGCGAGCCTGAGAGCAGGGCACAGCGGCCCGGCACCCATGGTCACCACTCTGTCCCACAGGCCATGGCTCAGAGGTTCCTGGAGGGTGAGGTGCCGCTGGAGCAGTTCCTGGAGGACTTCTCCGCCATGCGGATGCTGTCGCACCTGCGCCGCGTGCGGGTGGAGAAGCTGCAGGACGTAGTGAGGAGGCCCCGTGTGCCCCAGGAGCCGGCGGGGGACGCCCCCCCACCCCGGCCACCGCCGCCACCACCACGCCCTGCCACCCAGGCTGTGCCCCCCGTGGCCGAGGAGCCCCCACCGCAGCTGCAGCCGCAGCCACTGCCGTCGGCCACACCCCCCTACCCCTTGCCCTACAGCCCAATGCCCAGCCTGCCCACCGGCCCCACTGCCCAGGGCGCCCTACCGCCAGCCCCCTTCCCAGTGATGGCCCAGCCCTCGGCCTACGGGACGCCGCCAGGACCCCGGCCCGGGGTGGCTGCAGGCTATGCCTGGTCCCCCTCCAGGGGCACGCCGCTCCAGCCAAGCTACCCCACACCCCCGACCAGCACCTCAGGCCCTGGGTACCCCTTAGCGGGGGGCCGGGCCCCCAGTCCTGGCTATCCTCAGCAGTCCCCCTTTCTCCCCATGGCAGGGAAGCCCCCCTACCCCACGCAGCCCCCGCTGCCCGGCTTCCCCACGCAGCCCCCGTACCCCACCAGGCCCGCGCCCCCCTACGGCTTCCCCCCGCCCTCGGGCCCAGCCTGGCCCGGGTACTAGGTGGGCTGCCCTCCTCTCGGCACCGTGGCCCTCGCCCTCCTTGCACAGAGACCGAGGGGCAGCAGCAGCCTTGGTGCTGTGACTGCACGGCAGCCCCTGACCAGCGGCCTGACTGCCCTCAGGGCCGGCCGCGGGCTTGGAGTCTGAGCCGGTGTGCACGCCGTGTGCTCCTCTGTTCCCGGGCACATCTGGACGTGGACGGGACGGCCCTGCTGCCCCATACCTGGGATTTGGCCCCTGGACGGAGCCCCGGACCCCCCACCCGTGGGCCAGGGCTGGGGCCGGGAGGGGAGAGCAGCAGCTGCCACCCCACGAAGCCATAATGTAACCGCTAGGCTGCTGCCAGGCCGCGGCCAGAGTGCACTGCAGCGGCCTCACGCTGGCCACCTGGGCTCTGGCTGGACAGAGCAGTGGTTGGAGCCCAGCAGGCCCCAGCAGGGCGTTGGGGGGCTGTGGAGCCGGTCTGAGCCCCCATCTTTTCGTGCCTTGTATCTCACATGCGAGCAGCCCCTCCACCCTGCCTGCCCATGTAACCCCCCAACCCCAGGGACAGCGTCCAAAGGCGCCTGGGACCCCACCCCACAGTGCTCTTGGGAACGTTGCCGCGGCCAGGTGTGCCCCGCCCCAGTGGCCCGGGGTGCGGCGGAGCAGCTGCGCGTGCGCTCAGGTGACAGGTCTCAGGGGACCCGCGGCCGTGGCTGCATGGGTCAGGAAGTCGTGCCTTGAGGCGTCCCTGCCGCCCTCCGTCTCCGTGGGTGCGGGGTGCAGGGATGGGGCTGCCTGGCCGGCGGCGGCCGGCGTGTGAGGTGCGGGGCAGTGCGGCACCTCGGCGGCGCCCGCTGCTGGCTGTTGGTGAGGAGTCCCGTGGAGCCTGTCCTGGTGCGGCCGTCTGAGTCGCGGGTCGCAATAAACGTGGGCGGATCACACCCGTGTTCTGCTTCCTCCCGGGGTCGCCCCGCACGTCCCCTGGCCCAGGAAGCGCACTTCGCGGGGCCCCATGGGTATCCCCATCTGCATCCCGTTCCCCGTCCCTCTTGGTAGCCTCGCCGCGGCCACCTCCCTGCCCTCGCCGCCCGCCAGCTTCCGGTGTTCTCCCCTCCTCGCTCGGTCTCCTGGAAGGGCTGAGCCCGCCCCGCTTTAGGTACGGGCTGTGCCGGAGGCTGCAAGGCTACAGGCTCCCGCAAGGGGGCGCCCGCGCCAGTCCTGCTCTTGACACCTGCCGGCCGCCGCTGACCAGCCTTCTTGCGGGGCTGTGGGGTGCGCCCAGGGTCAGGGCACCCCAGGCTGGGTGTGTGGCCCCGCCAGCTGGTCCCACTGGCGCTTCTGAGTCCCTCAAGCTGGCCTTCTGCCCTCTGTCCCCGAGGGTGATCAGGGTGTGGCTAGCACTGTCCTCCAGGGTGGGTCACGTCCTGTGCTCGCTGGCACTGTGGCCTCTGGGGCTTGCCCCACTTCTAATGAGGAAGGAGACCTGGGTCAGAGTGGGCTCTGCTGGGCCCTGTGGCCCCCTCTCTTCGGTCCCCTTTCCTGCCGGCACCCAGGGAGCCAGGTCCCGGAAGATGCCAGGCTGTGGGTGGAGCTGCAGCTGTGACCTGCGTGGGCTGGTGCTGTGCCAGGCTGGGAGGAGACGCTGTGGCTCCCCTGCCGGCCTGCACGCGTGAGGTGGTGGTGCACCCTAGTCACAGGCGCTCCTCCGGGCTCCCCATGTCCAGCCTGGAGCTGGGAGAGCCCAGCGTAGACGCACGGCCGAGCCAGCCAGAGGCCCTGGGCTTTCCTTGGGGTCCTCAGTTTACCTGACAGGACAGTGCTCACACAAGGCCCCAAGGACCGCTGGCCACACGGGAGGGGGTGGGGTGTGAGGTGGCCCAAGTCACCTTCGGGCATCCTCCCCCGCTGGAGGACAGCCTCGACAGGTGGCCTGGGTTGGACCTGTGGCCGAGGCTGGAACCTGTAGGGATCCTTGGTGACAGGCACGTCTCAGGGCGTGGGCGACTACGCAGGTCTCACTGAGCTGTCACCCGGCCCTGTCAGTTACAGTCTCTAAAGACTCCTTGCCCCAACGGCACTTCCTCTTTGGATTTTTAAAGAAAGTCGCTGTGGTGGCTTTGAGGCCACAGTACGGCGGTCAAATGACGCAGAGCTGTCACCTAGGGAGGTCCTGGCGTCTCCCCGACAGCAGCCCCTGGGTCCCTTTCCAGGGCCCAGCCTGGGTGGCTGCAGGTCGACGGCCAGCCGCGGTTCCTGGGCTGTTGCAGCCCGGTCCGTGGTGCCGGCATTCCCTGGTCCTCATGCTGCGTCCACCTGACGCCCGTGTCCTCCCTGTGCTGCCCCAGGGCTGGCTCTGTGGCCGGAACCGTGGATCCCTGCTCTCAGAGGTGCAGAGGTGCAGGCCCAGGGTGTGTCCTCAATGTGACGGCGGGGGTGGGGGGCGCTTGACAGGAGTGGTCAGAGCACCCGTGCTCACGGAAGTAGGACAAGCATCATTTACGGAACAAACACGTTCAGTGCGCACCACACAAACCCCCAGGAGGCTCCTTCACTGTGTGTCAGGGTGGTGTCCAAGGAGAAGCCCAAGGCTCTGGGGCAGGGGCGGCCAGGGGGGAAAGGGGTTCCCTTGGGCTCCCCAAATCTCTGCTGAAGGGCCTCACTTGCAGCGTCCACATGGAGGGCCCCTCACATGGGGTGGCTGCCCCTGGGTGGCCGTCCTCGCCTGGGTCCCCGAGGCCCAGCTCCCTGCCTCGTCCTGGCGGGTGGGTAGGGGTGGGGACCGCACGTCTGTCTGGGGGGGGGACTGCAGGTCTGTCCCGCGGCTTCCTGAGCCTGGCGCCCAGTTCCGGGGTGTGTGAGGGGGTGGGTTGGGAGCTCGGACTCGGGGCAGCTGCGGCCCAGCAGCGGGCTTCTCCAGAGGGGCGTGGCGCTGCCTCCTTCTGGTTCTTTAGCACATCAGATGGGTGCTGTGCGAGGTGCCAGGCAGCCCGAGGCCTCAGGCTCCTGCTCAGCTCCTGGGGGCACTTGCAGTTCTCAGCACCTGACAGTGAGGTCAGTCCACGAGGGGTCTTGCTTTCGGAACTGTCTTCTCAAAAGCAACGTCTTGGCAGCTGCGGCTGAGGGGGCTCGGCTCCGCCTGCCGTGCTGCGGTGGACGCGCTCCCGGGAGTCCCAGCGGGCTGTGAGCGGGGCGACGTGGCCTGAGCCTGCGGCTTGCTCCCCCGTGTTCCAGTGCCCCGCTCTCCTTTTGCACTTGTTGTTTTGAAATTCCCCGGCCTTAAATGTTCCCCGCCCGTCTTCCCAATGAGCCCTGAGCTGCTCCCACCCGCTCCTCTCGGCAGTGGCCGCAGGGTGTGTTCCTCTTCTCTCAGGCTTGGGGCTGCGACTGTCCCGCTGCCCGGGGGGAGTCCTTTGCCTCGGCTTTGGACGCTGCGAGGACGAGGACAGCCCAGGGCCTCCCCAGCTAGGTGTGCACCCCACTGTGCTAGCCCCAGGGGCTCTTTCTGAGCAGGTTCCCGGGAAGGTTTGAAGATCCTTGGCTCTGGCACCGAAGTCACAGGCGTGCACACTTTCGCTCCACGGGGGACGAGGTAGGCCGCGGGGCTGGGGCCAGGCTCACCTCTACAGCCTCTGGGCGGCGTGCAGGTCGTAGTCGCTGTCGGAGGAGTTGTCAGGCGGGGCGGCGGAGAGGCGCAGGGCCCCTTCCAGAGCTGGGAGGAGAGGAGGTATCGGCAGAGGCCCAGGGAGCCGGGCCCAGCACGTAAGCGGGTCACAGGCTGTGCGAGCCAGTGATGCATTCAGCCTCAGAAGCTCACGAGGCTCATCTCTGCCCCTGGACGTCACTGTCAGCGCCAGCGAGGGGCCCTGGGTTCTGGGCTCCTGCGGGCTGCTGATGGCCCTGCTCTGGGCCGGAGGGCCTCATTGACCACCGGCCCCGCCGGGTCCTGCAGGAAGCGGGTCCCTTAGACCCAGCGGGTTGGGGTCCTGGTGTCGGCCAAGAGCAGGGTTCTTAGACGGGCGGCTTGGGCCTCGGCAGCCGGGCCCGTGTAGGACCTGCGGTCCAGCGGGGATGGTGGGCTCCCCCAGGCCTCCCTTCTCTCTCTTGGCAGGGCTCCAAGGGCGACCCACATGCCCGGCTCTGCTGCTCACCTGGGTAGGCGGACAGGCGCGAGTTCCGGGGCGGCTGGCTGTACTCGTTTTCCGCGTGCGACGCGGGGCGGTCCTCGGCCCGGGGCCGCGCGGCGGCCGAGTGGTTGCGGTGGAAGGACACTGCGCACACGGGGACGGGCGGCTGGGGCTGCTGCCCTGTCCCCTCCCCCCGGCACCCAGGAGCCTCATCTCCGTCCCCACTCCGCCACAGGGGGGCAGGCTGACCCTGGCCCTCGCCCGCTCCCGTCCTGCCCCCAGGGAGGCGCCCCGGCAGGCTCAGACGGCAGCAAGCTGCCTGGGCCAGTCAGACGCCACGCCACACGTGGGAAGCGGGGCTCACCCCCTCCCCGGAAGCGGAGCCTGTGTGCGGTTGAGAACAGCCTGCACTGGAGAAGGGGGAGGTGCGGGCAGACGCGGAGGGAGGCGCCGTGACCCGCGGCCTGCGGCCGGCTGGCATGGCCGTGGCTGAGCGCGCACGCGGGCCTGGGGCGGGGCTGGGGCTGCCCTCGAGCCGGCCCTCCCGGGCTGCCCTACAAGCGGGGACCGCGCGGCAGAGGTCGCGTGGCCTCCACAGTCGGGGCGAGAGCCGTGGTGAGCTTGGCCTGGCCCCTGCAGCCGAGGGGGCCCCTTCGGGAGTGTGGGTCCCAGGGCTGGGGATGCACCAGGGAGGGGAGGCCGTGGGGACCCCGGTCGAGTCACCGCAGAGACGGGCGGCAGAGGGGACACTGCGGCTTCTGAGTCAGGTGGAAAGTGCCCGGCCCCTGCCCCCTGAGGAAGCCTCAGCCCGGGCGGAGGCCGCCTGCGGCCGCACTCCCACCCCAGAGGCCTGTCTGGCCAGCGGGCCTGGGCTGCCCGACACTCACTGTTCTGGCTCATCCCTGTTGGGCCGATCCACTGCCGCTGCTTCTTCTGGCGCACTGGGTCAGAGAGATGGAGGTGGTGAGGGCTGCCGAGGGCCCTGGGAGGCCGGGTGCCCAGCAGGCGGCTTGGGCCCAGCTTCCCGTCTGGTGGGTAGGGGTGCGGGCGGGGCGGCGTTTCCAGAGAAGCCCCTTGCCCAGCGTCCTGAGCGCCACTTCCTGTCTCTGAGCAACCTCTGCACACACAAAGTGTGCGGCTGCACTCTCGGGCGAGGGGAAACTGAGGCTCAGAGGCAGGGAGCGGCCTGGAGGGGCAGGGTCACACATGGTCGCGGGCTACACTGTGGCGCAGCTCAGGCCACCTCAGCCTCCCCGGGGGCAGGTGAGTCAGAGAGTGCGACCCCCCCGACTTTCCGTCCCTCGGGAGGAAGGCGTGGGGGGCTCGGGCCGGCACCCACCTTTCTTCATCAGCTTCCTGTAGGCCGGGGGGCCGCACACCACCAGCAGCACAGCCAGGAGCACCAGGGCCAGGACGATGCTCCCCACGGTGCCCGCGGCCGGGCCTGGGGGGTGGGGATCCTGGCCTGTCGGGAGGGCTTGGGTCAGCCTGGCCTGGGGCAGAGACTGCCACCGGTAGGCACCGTGCCCGGGTGCCCTGAAGTGCGGAGTCCCCGCCCGGCTGTCCCTCGCCCGTGTCTGCTGCCTCTGTGCGCCTGCTTCCGTCCTCAGCGTGTGACCCGAGTGCTCCCCTCGCGTCAGCTGTCCCGGCCCTCACTGTGCTCCCCGGCTCCCGCGCCCCGGCCCCGGCCGCAGGCTGTGGCACTCACAGGTGACGTACACCCTCTGGCAGGGGCTCCTCTCCTCCAGCTCGTGGCACTGGGACAGCTGCTTCCCAGGACAGAGGAACCCGTGGGTGCCCGCGCCGGCGTCCAGCTTGCGGAAGGTGGCGAAACTGCCGCACTGCTGCTCCTGGCACAGCTCGTCCCACCGTGCAGAGCTCCCGGGTCTGTAGCACAGGGCCGCCCACCGTGCCCCCGGGCCGCCCTGGCGCACCTCCACGATGCCCTGGCACGTGCTGCCGCCCCCTACCAGGCGGCTCTGCACCTTGGGCTGGAAACCTGGGGGAGCAACGGGAGGTGAGGTACAGGCCGGCCGCCCCCATGGCCTGGAGCCCAGTACTGGCTGGGGAGGCGCCTCCCTGCAGCCTGCCTCCTCGGCGCCCTCCCGGTAGCCCCCACCCAGCTCTACCCAGCCTCCGCAGCCCCGTGGGACTGGCAGCTGGGTGCATGCAGGCAAGGAGCCCTGGGGACAGTGCCCATTGGTGGAAATGTAAGCATTCGCCCTGTGCCAGGCAGAGAAGAGCTGGCGTGGCACCTGGGCCCCCTGGCCTCTTAGGAGCACCCTCTCCTCCTGCTGTCCCCCGACAAGAGGCAGGCTTCTCAGAGCGGGAACTGAGTCAGAGGGTGGGGCAGACTGCTCCAAGCCCTGGCTCCTCATGGGCTGAGACCCCAGGATGCTGTAGCCCAGGCTCTGCCCCAAGGGCCAGGCGACTGTGCCCGGCCAGTCCATCGGGGGCGTTGGGCTGGGGCCAGGCTGCCTCACTGCAATCCAGCTCAGTGGCCAGCAGGGGCCCTACTTCCCAGAGGGCCAGCGCTGGACCAGCGGCGTAGGGGCCAGAGCCAGGCCTCCCACATCCTTGCAGGAAGTACTGAGCCCTCACAGAGACAGACTGGATTCGGGGGATGGGAGGGTGTGGGGGCTGCATTTCCAACCGTCCCGGTGCCAGAGCTGAGGGTGGCAGCAGGCTCCAGATCCACATGGGGAGTAGGGGGCAGACGCCGGCCCTCTCCACACCCCTCCTCCCCTGCATGACATGGGGACGGTGAAAACAGAGCCGCAGGCCCCAGAAAACTGTCGGGAAGGTCTGGACATGCTCCTACCCCAGGATGGGGACCCACCTCGCCCCACCCCACTGCCTATCTGCCTCGCTTTCCCTGTGGTCTCCTCAGTGCTGCCCACTGATCCTGAGGTGACCCTTAGGCTCTGCAGACTCCCCGCTCCCAGCTCAGCCGCACAGGCCTCACTTTGTGAGCTGGTGCTCTGGCGGCTCCGGGTCACCCCGTGGCTGTGTGGACCCCACTCCTCGTCCTGGGGTGAGCGGCCCGTTCCCCTCGGCCACGCCGTCTGCTGTGCCCACCATGCCAACGGGGGTCTCTGCTGGCCCCCGCCTGCCTCCCTGGCCCCACTCACCGGAGCAGAGGAGGGCCAGGGCCGGGCTGGCCGCCCCGCTTGGTGCCCTCTGGAAGCACTGCGGCAGGGCCGAGCAGCTTGCGTTCCGCACCGTCCACCGAATCGGCTCTGAGGCTTCGGCTCCCGGCAGCCTCTTCAGGAAGGAGCCACAGCCCAGGCTGCTGCAGAGGAGGGTGCCCAGGCGCTGGAGCTCGTCATCCTCGTCACTCGGGGCTTGGTAGCCGACGGCACCGCCCAGGCGGCCGCTGTAGAACTCGACAGTACCCGCGCACTGCAGGCCCCTGGACCCAGCGGGCCCCGCCACCAGCCACAGCCTGGGTGGAGCTGGAATGGGGGACTAGGCTGAGCGGTGCTTCCTCCTGGCTGCCAGCCTCCGCACAGGTGGGGTGGGGGCATGGCGCGGCAAAACCTGCACCCCCCCAGTCTCCCACCTGTGGGTGCCGGTGTGGTCGGTGGTGGTGGGCTCGTGGGTGGTGGTGGCGTTCTCCGGGGCTCTGTGGGTGGGGAGGATGGGGCAGTGGGGTGAGGAGGTTGGAGACAGCACCGCTCTCCCTGTAAGCCCCTGAGGCCCACACTGCCTCACAAGGGGGCCACCCCAAGTCCTGGGGGAGGGGGCTCCGGGGGTGGGGGAGCTGGCCGTGAGCAGAACGGCTCCCGCTTTTCCATCCCATCAGGCAGCCGCCAGCCTCTGGCCCTTGGATGTGTCTGGGGTCAGAGAACGGGCCCTGACCCCTCTGTCCCTCAGGCACCCACAACCCACCTAGGCAGACCAGGTCCAGTGTCTGGCACCGGCCTGGGGCGCTGCTGCAGTTGGAGAAGGATCCCAGGGCTCCGTGGCAGGTGACCAGGGGGAGCCCGGCTGAGGACGCCCTGAAGGCAGGGCCGGTGCGGAGTCTGCAGACGTCCCCACAGTGCAGCTGCTGGCAGAGGTAGGCGGCCTGACGGGCGTCCCCGGCAGAGCCATCCCCCAGGCCCCAGCTCTGAGCGCACAACGTGCTCCAGGAGTCCTGCACGTAGACCTGCAGCTGGCCCTGGCATGGCGAGCTGGAGCCCCCGAGTCGCACCTTGAGGTCTGGGGATGGGGTGGGTGACGGGGAGCAGTCAGGCGCAGCTGGGAGGAAGGCGCCCTCCCGCCCTCCGCGGGGCCCTCCCGCCCAGCACCTCATGGGCACCGCAGAGCTGGAGGGGAGCCTAGCACGTGGACGAGGGGCGCTGGGTGCTGCCCAGCACAGCCGCCCAGCATAGCCGCCCGTCCTGCAGACCTCCTCACTGGGCTCCCGAGTAGCCGGGGGCCTTTTTTTAACCTTTGAAGTCAGTTTTAGAGAGGCACAGTGTACACTCAGTGGGCACCGTTGGCTGGGATTTGACACCAGTGCACGAGCACGAAGCCGCTACCAAACTCTAGGTCAGAACGAGCTGTGGCCCAGACAGTCCCCCAAGCCGCTCGCTCCCGAATCTGGCCCGGGGGCTGCTGGCTCGCTCTCTGTCCCAGGAGACTGGCTTTGCCCCTTCTCCAGCCGCAGAAGCCGGCCTTCCTTTCGGCTTCCTCGGCCTGCGAGGCTGCAGATGGGGCGCCCGCCGCTCCTCTGGCCGTGGGACTCCGTGCACGGGTGCATCTCGCCGTGCAGCGCGGCCAGCTTGGCCTCCTGGGCACTGCAAGGGTGGTGTCGGGGCTTTGCCCGCTGTGGACTGATCTTTGTGGCCTGTGTGTCCATTTCCCTCCGGGAAGCACCAGGAGTGGCCCTGCTGTCTGGAAAGCAGCCATGCGGCTTTGTGATCTTAGAAAGCTCGCGGGGAGGAAATCCGTATTGCCCTTTGGTATTGGTTGGGGGAGCTGGTTTTAGGGCCGCCCACAGGTGCCAGAGTCCGCGCTGCTCAAGTTCCCTGCCTAAAGTGGTAGGGGCTGGGGTGTAGCTCGGGGTATGGGGTGTGTTTAGCATGCATGGTCTCCAGGCTCCATCCCTAACAGCCCAGGAATAAGTGCAGTAAGATTAAATGGCCTAATAACAACGGCCCCGCCTCCCTCTCCTGCTCTTCCTCACCTGCGTCTTCAACGCTGGGCCAGCCAAAGCAGGAAGCCACTGCAGAGAGAAGAGGGGACAGTCAGGAAGTGGGGCCGCCCTCCCCGTCCTCCCTGCCCCCACCCTCGCAGGAGCCCCACCCCTTGGGCTTCCAGATGCAGGTTTCCTCCTGTAGCCTGGCACCCCGGCAAGAGGCGAGGTCAGCAGGGCGAGGTCAGAGGCTGCAGCCATCACTTTCTCTTCTTTTTATTTTATTTTATTTTTTGTTTTCTGTCTTTTTGAGACAGGGTCTCACTATGCAGTTCAGGCTGGCCTTGAGCTCACTTGGTAGCCCAGGCTGGTCTCGAACTCACAACGATCCTCCTGCCTCAGCCTCCCAAGTGCTGGGATTACAGGCATGTACCACCACGCCCGGCTTCTCTACTTCTTAAAAAGAAAACAAACTTTACTTTTTAAAATAACATGCGATGACATTGAATTTTCCCCTGAGCACAGCTGAGTGACTGTTAGCACACGGGGTGCGTGTGACCTCCGTCCCGCCAAGCACACGCCAGCCCTGTCGCCAGGCCTTCCTTGTCTCCCCCTGTGTAGAAACAGCTGCCCTTATTCACAGGACGAAACAGACGGGGGCAGAGATGGTCAGATCCCCGGTCCTGTGCCCTGGACTGAGACATACACGCGCCCTGGGCGTAGCTTTGCTCCAAAAGCTGGACTGCGGCTCCTGAGACCCAAGCGGTCAGCCGGACGGGCAGCTGGAGCGTCCTCCTGCCTTCCCCAGGCACCCAGTGCTGTGTTATCTCATGCTCAGTGGTCAGAAGTCCGACGCGCTCGCCCACTGACTTTGAGAGGGCCCACTGCCCCAAAGCCCTGTCTGATGTGGGTGAGGCGGGATGCCCCATAGAGGGGGTGCTTGGCAGAGCAGCAGGGGCCCCTGGTCATGCTGGGGGTCTGGTCAGGGTGGGGACTGGGTGGGGCTGGGCTGGGAGAGAGCGCCCGTGGCCACCCTGCCCAGCCCTGCGGAGCGGTTATGTTGATGCTGTCCTCTGCCTCTTGGACTGGCTTCTTTGCTGGCAGCCAGGACAGCACCGGGTCAGAGAGATGAAGTTTTGTCGCTGTGTTTTGTCAGTGTTGGGGACTGAGCCTAGGGCCTACACACTGAGCTACACCCCCAGGAGGGGCCATTTTGTTTTTCTGAGGCAGTCTTGGTAAGCTGTTAAATTGCCCAGGTTCAGCTTTAACTTTCGATACTCCCGCCTCAGCCTCCCAGAGTGCTGGGATTACAGGTGCATGCACAGGAGCTGACTTGATAAGAAAGCGACTATGTTTCACTTCCTCCGAGACACTGTCACTGGGGGTTGGAACACCCTGCTCTGGCTGCAGCTCCCAAGCTGGTGCGGGAGTTTCGTGGGAAGTTGCCCCACCCCACCCCTGCTGTGCCCCGGAGGACTCCGGGTGGCAAAGCCCCGGGGATCCTGTGATGGGCTGTCCCATTTCTGAAGTCCCATCCCAGTCGGTCTGCAGCCCAGGGCCCTGCAGGGGATGGTTATTCTCACAGGCAGGCTGCTGACAGGGACGCAGGGCGCCGCCCCGACCTCTCCTCCCACTGCCTCCTGCCCAGGCTGCCGGGGAAGCAGGGCCCCAGCTGCAGCGAGGAGACCCGCAGCAGAGGCTGCCCTGTGCCCCCGCCCCACTGGAGACGCCAGGACTGTGCCCCACCGTGGTGCAGGCGTGTCGGGTGTAAGCGTGACGGGGCGCCCTCGTGGCAGGCCCGGTTCAGACCATGGCTTTGGCTTGGAAATGCGCCCCCTGCTTCTGCCACCAAAGGGCGTCTGCACAGTGCCAGCGTGGGGATGCAGAGGGGAGCAGACCCGAGGTGCCAAAGGGGCGGATGGCCCTGAGCCGGGCACTGTGCTGACCGCCCTGCAGGCCCGCACGGAGCAGCCTGGCCTGCTCGGAGAGCATGCCGCGGAGAGGCCGCACAGGGGCGAGGCCCGGGAGAGGGTGAGCGAGGGGAGGCACACGTCCCAGGGCACAGCCACCCTCAGGGTGCTGCCTGGTCCTCAGTTTCCTGATTTCCTGGTTTCCTCGCTTCTCCATCTGCCCTCATCGCCTCCACCCCCTCACCAGCTCCGTCGTCCTCACCCCTGCCTTCTCCACCTCCACCATTATTACCACCACCATCTCCATCTCCTCCATCACCTCCATCATCTCCATCTCCTCCACTGCCTCCGTCTCCTACACCACCTCCATTTCTACCACCTCCGTCTCCTCCACCTCCGTCTCCTCCACCGCCTCCATCTCCTCCA